TAAAAAAAAACCAGTAGTACTTTGCCCGACCCGGGTATCGAACCCGAGACCCCTTGCCCGGCAGACGCACTTGCGACCACTCGGTCAACGAGGCAGTCTTATAGTTTAAATACCTAAGTAATATTAGTAAATGTTATTATGGCATATGGCAATAGGCTCACCCTTATTGCATGAGACTCATAACATTAATAGTGAAATAATAGTGAAAAGTGGGTGTTACATTGTACAGTGGCATAATGTGCACCTCTGCCTACTCCTTCGGGGATAAAAGGCGTGATGTTATCTTAAACTATAAAACTTTGATCAAGTATTTGTTCATCCATGAATTTCAGGTGACATTCAATCTGAAAGGGCAAAGAACTGAAATGAATGCTGGACTCGATTTTCTAGATAAACTCCAAGTCAATTTCATGTTCAGAGTAATAAAATCCATAGTGAAAACGTCCATAAAACCTGTACATGGATATTAATTTTGTGAAATATAAGAGGGGTATCACTATAAAGTTTGTAGCTATTGTCAGAGGATTTTAATTAAATAAACGATGCGTTGATTTAAATATCAACGTGTAAAATCCTATTGTGTGTTAGATTTAGTCCATATTAATGTTATTAATATTGAAATGAAGTTACGTAATGATATACGGATAGAAGAGTTTGTATGGTACCTGTTTGTGATTTAGCTCCTAATTTGATATCTATTTTGATAGCGCAAAGTTTAATAAAAAATGTTTTAGTTAATTTATACGTAAGCAAACATGTACCTATTACGTTTTTTACAAAAGTAACATTGATAAAAGATTGAAATTCAACACTAGATTGCTTCACCCTTAGAAACAAGAAGGTGGAGAAAACGGTTAGCTTCGACACTTTAACACAAAGCGAAATTTAACAAGAGTGGCAATAAAAAGTGCAGGTCCCAGAATGTCGCCTTGAGGAACGCCCGCTTTTTGTGACGCCTCGAGTCTCCCATTAAACGTGCTAACGAGACACGCCCATCAATTGTGTCATTCCATTATAAGCATACTACCTACAGAAGAAAATGATAGTTTTAACTAGTTTCTTCATTACGACGTTGATTAACATTCTCTGAAGTTATACTAAGAACTGAAATGTTTTAGTGGCTTTAATTTCAGTAGCAATATTGCGCTCCTGGTTCTATAATGTAATATATCTCTGTCGTTGTCGTTTATTTGAGGTTGTCTCGTTAGTGTAATTTAAACCGGATATGAGATATTTCAGTTTCATAATGACAAATGGATAGATATGTATGAATTTTGAGTATAGGTACCTACGTTGCATTGCAATTTGCAGTACAAGATTTCTCTATAAAGTCATAACCTAGTGTAAAATGCAGATTTTAAGAAAATAAACAGTATTAAAACAACTGATTCCTTAAACACACGTGTTTCTATTAAACACAAATAATAATATTTCTGACTCAAAAAAACGTAGGTAGTGTAAAACAGGAGCAGGGTGAAAATAAAATTGAAATGTCAAGCAAAGAGAATGATTTACTTAGTTATGATGGCACAGCGGCCATCTTGAATATTTATTATGTGCAGGTGCATTTGACTTTCATATTGTGGTAGTTTTTCTTGATAACTACTAATATTTTTCTAGTATTTCATTAAACGGATTTATGTTTGGTTATAAACAGCAAGTGATTTAAGAAAAATATGGAAGAGTTTAGCTACTAAATGTGTTTAATAAAATAAATGCTTAAAAATATTACAGTGCCATCTTGTGAAGCAGGTATACATTATTTTAATCCCCACTCTGAGTGCTGAAAGTTTAAACTGATTAAACTTTTCTATCGTTGTCATTTCTTGTAGAATAAAATAAAACAGTCAAATTGAAAGATTACACAAGAGATTAAACTCCAACACTTCCAGTAAGTTATTTCAAGTCCTTTTTAAAACTACAACTGTGGCAAATACAAACACGTCTAACTATAATTAAGAGTAAATGATTTATGTTCCTGTCATCTTCATCATCATTTGTTTGATTATTCGGAAATAACCTAAAGGTTAATGAGACATATTGTAATTTATCTAAATACGATGTGGTTTGGATTTGTTCGTGTTAGTACCTACATGAAGTAGATATAATTTCCAATTAACACGTTAAACGCCAGGGCAGTCACCGGTGACCGACATTAGCGGAGGATTTGCCTTCAACAGTTTTTTATTGGCAGCCAATGCCCTAAATCTTTATTATAGTAAGATAATGGATAGGTATTCTCTGTCTATATGATCTACATCTTAGTAGAAAAACAAGTACCGCATCTTTATATTATTTAGCCAGTCAGGAGTCATGTTACGTAGACAATAGCCGAAAATTCTATTATCGAACGAACGCAATGAATGGACGAAAATTGTGTTTCACGTGGCTCATTGTGTGAGACCCATTAGCAAGGTCCTGCTCTTTCATCAGCGTCCTAATTACGTGCCTCATAAGGTTCCAATTGATATGAGCACAATTAGTCGCGTCTACACTATAATTTTCTCGGAATGAACGGGGAAAATGAGTATGTTGATTAAGCAAAGCAAAGGACAACAAAATTCTTCTACCTCTACTTTATGGATGTCTATGAATTACCTACGTATAAAAGACAGGTGAAACAGGGCAGGCAGTAGAAACAAATGAAGCTCAGCTCGGGCTTTGTGTGTCCGATAAACTATGACATACCTAACATCACACCTGCTATTCCCTGGAGCAATGGTGCAAGCATTACTTTTGTTTCAGCAAAAAATTCAGAATCCATTTTTAACAAAGACTAGTTTGAATTTTGACCTTTAGTCTTCAGTCCTCTAAAATTAATTTATCTACAAGCTAAAAGATTGTTAGATCGGGACGAAGTTTTTTGTTAAAAAATATAAAAAAGTCAGTCAATGAGTATAGTCCGGAAAACTTGCAAACGGTACAGGAGCTCGTTAGTTTGGCCTTTTTGTACTTTAGGAAAAGTTTCCGCTACTAAAACTGGACGCTTTTGTATTTTTTATACTTAACAGGGAAAATTATTCTGAGCTTCGACCAGGCAGCGGCCTGGCAGATATTTTCTACAAGTTTTAAATGAACGAAGCAAATGTTAGAAAAATATTTATTAAATAGACAATAATTTATGATAAAACAATTAGTTTATTACAAAGCATCTCACAATTATGCAAAGTTTCGCGTTTAATTACAATTTCTGTTTTTATTATTTGTCTAATTATTACTTTTTGTGCACATAAGCTTACAAAGTTTTAGACGATCAATGATCTATTTTAAGCCACATCTATCATAAAACATAAACCCCAAATTTAAAAAAAAGAACAAGCTCATACATACACGTAAGTAACCACAGATAATATTCCCTGTGCATTCGAGTAAAAAGTACCACGTCATTAATTTTACAAACGTAGTACGCGCCGTTTTTTGATAGCACACATAAACGAAACCTGGGTACTATATTTATGATATTATTCTATCATAATACTCGGTATTTATGAGTAAGATATACTCATAATTTACCTATATGGCGAGGGAAAAAAATAATCGTATTAGTTGTGCTTTCCTCGTTTTATTTTGAGAGGGGTTCGTGTGTTTTCAAAAGGCTTTTCAAAGGTAAAGGGCGAGTCGTAAAAGGAGATTTGTTTGTCATATGACATCAGACGTTTATAGAATTTTGGAATTAATAGCTTTTCCTATGCATCTACTCGTGTGCTGTATGATAAAGATATGAGGTGCTTCGGGAAGGAATGATATCTGAACGTAGAAAAAGTAAATAATTATGGATCGTAATAGATAATTATTGTTTGTTTGGCAAATGCTACAGCGACATTAAGGTATTTATGTAGATATATTATTAAATCTACGGGTTTCTACACGACAATAAAAATTGTTTTTCAGTACCTATTGTTTTTCATACTACACTTTGAATAAAAAAATATTTTAATTTTTAGTTATTTATAATATTAATATTAGTTTTTAGTTTATCATAGAGATATATTACATATTAATGAAGGTTCAATATCATGTATTTAGTTACTGAACATAAATATGTAAATTTTCAGTATCTGATATAATAAAATTGTAGATATTGTGTTTTCAATAGCTAGACAGAAAATAAACTCTTCGAAATGTGGAATATAAACGAGGTTTTCAACGTAAGTGCTTAAAATGTACGCAACTAGACATAATATATCGATAAAAACAGGCCATTAAAACAGACCATTTCCAAAGTAAGTTAACAGTACATTTAATAATATGATAGGGACTAAATTCTATAAAATCAATGTCTATAATCTGCCGAACTGTCTGGAAACTTTTACGTATATTTCAGCATTTTACACTGAAAATCACTTCGTCACGTACAAAGATTAAAAGAAGACTCGCAATATCTAAGAAAAACTAAAAGTAAAAAGAAAAATATAATTTTAGGCTGCTGAAATTTTCTAAGCTCAGGTAAATGACATGGCCTAAAAACAGAACAGTGTTACCTAATTAGAAGTAAGGAGATCCTAATGTCGGCAGGTGAAATGAAAGAATTATCTTAAATGAGATTTTTGTTTTCTGGAACAAAATATACGGACTTTGAGCACGCTCACGCTCGCTAAGCTGTAGCACTATTAGGAGACACAAAACATAGCTATTTGTTGACCATGTAATTCGTATGGCAATCAAGTCAATCCGCGACCTGTTGCATACCAGTCAGTCTCCTAGGCGTAGCACTAACCAATCAAGATTATATTGTTACTACTTCCGCGCGGTTTCACACGCTCTGCTCAGCTCCTATTGGTTGTAGCGTGATGTTTTATAGCCTATAGCCATCCTCGATAAATGCGCTATCCAACACAAAAATAATTATTCAAATCAGACTTGTAGTTACGGAGATTAGCGCGTTCAAACAAACAAACAAAAAAAACAAACTCTTCCGCTTTATATAATAGTATAAGAAGTATAATATTTAATTTGAGAGCTAACAAAAATAAACTAAAATGATATGATCTAGTACTCACCAGATTCTTCTTCCTAGTACACTGCAGCAGTTCCCCGTACAGCAGTTCTGCTTGCTGCATGCCCACTTCGAAGGTCTTCTGAATGGTGCTGATCAGGTAATCCCGCATCGACTCCAGTACTGTTTGCTCGCCTGTTTCTGATGCATACCTGATGGAAATTTAGTCATTAGAAGATGAAAAGTCTAGAATGAGGCTCATTGGATATAATTCCATAATCTATATTCCATGGACCCGAGCGTACGGAGCGCCGCGTGCCTCAGGGGGCCATCAGACCGCTACGGATGGGGTCCAATAGGGCTGGTGCCGATTCAGAGTCGCGGAGAACCTAACGGGTTACCGGGGCTGCGGCTCGAAGCGCAGGAGAAGGAACGGAGTGGTTTTTAGTCAGTAAGAGTCTGACACTCCCTCCCGCCTTACTCAGGCGGGAGCAGTCATTCAATGATTTTCCCCCTTAAAAAATAAAATAAAAAAAGAGATCATTTCGTTATACTGTAAAATCATAAGATTACTTGAAAACGTCGACAGCATAATTTGAATCGTACAAGTAAATGTCAACAAGAAAACAAGTATACAAACATAATTATTGTTATAAGGTTAGATATACCCGAGGTGCTCCCAAAGTTAAGCAGTTCTTGACATTTACTTTGAGAATATCTTGGAGAAAATTCGTATCCTTTCTAATGTGGGAAACCAAAAAATCTCCACGAAATATATAAGGTTGTCTTATTATGTTTTGTAAAACTTGGAGGGCCGTATCTAGGTGTGATAATGACGTCATTACACTCACTCTTGTATCATGGGTTGGGGTCAGTAGGTGCTTGAGTTTAGAGCCAGTGACAATGTATACTTCCATTACCAACTTAGTATTTTTGTGATATTTTAAGACGTCCTCGATTGGTCGCAAATGCTGAACACGGAAATTCATACTCTGTGATAATACCGAACCTCAACAATACTATACCCGACTCGCGAATCGTATTAAAGACTTCATGCTTCATGCAGGCAGTTGCTTTTGCGATCATACGTCTAATGAAGCCGTCAAAAGCTAATAAAAATTGTGCTTGATAAGTGAAATAAAACTTCAACATCATATTATACGAGCGTTTACCCGCGGTTTTGCTCGCTTATTCCTGTTTTATTCCACGGAAGAATATAATCGGGATAAAAATCCTATCACCTAAATCAGCACATGTGCTGGATTTCAAAATCTGTTTAGTAGTTTCAAGCGTGATTGACGGACAAAAATCCAAACAGAGAAACTTTCACATTAATAATAATTAGCTTCTACCCGCGACTTCGTACGCGTAATCCCATTTTTTCCCGTCCCCGTTCATGATTTTCGGTAAAAAGTAAAAAAAAGTATTGGTTAAAAAGTATCCTATGTCGGTCTCCTGGCTCTAAGCTACCAATTTTCAGCAAAATCTATTCTGCCGTTCTTGAGCTATAAGTGGTGTAACTAACACGACTTTCTTTTATATATATAGATATTAGTGGGATATTACACCCATACTCATCCTAAATATCAAACCCATAATATATCCCAGAAACAAATACTGTATATTTCTCAACAATGTTTGAAACAAGTTACAAGTAGGTACGATGCACTTATGTAATCGTGTGCAGTTTCATTGAACCAATACGAGGAGCCGGATACTTTGACACATGTACGTATTACTTGTAAAACTTCATGTGTTCCTTCGATTATTGTTGTTTGCGGTTTTGCTTCCAAGTTTACGGGGAGTATTGATTTAATATGGCGGCCATTGGTCATTTTATTGCGAACTTGCACGATGTGCCTAATGTAAATGTAACCAATAGCTTCTCAGGCCGCCTCGATCGAAGTGATACAGCTGCCTTATAGCAAACTAGCGTAAAATAGCACATGCGTTGCTTTTTGTAAATCAAATCAAATCAAATCAAAATCATTTATTTGCCCGAACAAGGTATACAGTGGTCACATTATGATTATAGTCCCTCTTATTCTGCCCACAATTCGGGCGTGCACCTCCATGGAATCGCGAGAGTGACGATATCGGAAAGTCAATTCATTTCTCCAAAAGGCCGGTCACACATATGTAACTCCACAAGTGCTGCGAGTGGCCACGGGGCTTCAATTGCTGACCATCTGGCAATCTATCTACTAGTTTATCGTATCACTAAATAGTATAACACAAAATCGCTCTCCGACGTCTGTCTGTCCCTATGTATGCTTAGATCTTTAAAACTACGCAACGGATTTTGATGCGGTTTTTCTTAATAGATAGAGTGATTCTTAAGAAAGGTTTATATCTATAACTCATGCATATTGCACCCGTCTTGGTGGCCCGGAGGTTTAAGACGCTGGCTTCTCATGCATGAGAATGCGGGTTCGAAACCTATCAACGGCAAGCACCAATGTGACCTTTTCCGAGTTATATGTACTTCCTAAGATTATTTAGATACCACGGACAAACGGTGAAGGAAAATATCGTGAGGAAACCTGGGCTTATAATTTCATTATAAGTTTGTAATCGCCAACCCGCATTGAGCAAGCGTGGTAATTAATGCTCAAACCTTCTCCGTGTGAGAAGAGGCTTTGCTCAGCAGCGGGCATTTATAGGCTGTTGATGATGATTGCACCCGTGCGAAGTCGGGGCGGGTCGCTAGTAAAAAATAAATATAATTATGCAACTTACTTGTGAACAAAAGCAATAAGATCAGCTGCTCGACCGCTGCCGTCACAAACGACCACCGGTACCGGAGGTGTATCAGTGACATACTCCAGCACTGCACGCACTGTGTTAGTGCCGCCCTCTATCACCAGACAGACCACCGGAGTCGATGAGTGTGTGTCTATAACAAAAATATAAAGGTAAAATGTATGAAACTAGAGTTATGTATCTACGCAAGTCATTTGTGAAAACTGTTTGTTTCATTTTGTTTCGATAAATGATTATCGAAACTAGAGAGGTACATAAAAATTGTTGAGACTGACATCATTTATAAAAGAAATCGTGATTAAAAGGTTTACGTTCATTATAACAATCAAACTTAAAATAGCATATGGACAAGTGTGTCTACATCTACATAATCAATTCAGTATCACTAATATATATTTTTTTCTTTGCGGTTATTAAAAATATTTTATTTGTATCGGCGATCAGTTGCGACTGACTATAAGCTGATGAGTTCAGTTGTTATGGCGATTAGGCGAAGGAACCAGTAACCCTTCTATCTTTTCAAAGCACGTTCCTTTTCAGCCTGTTCGCAGTGAGCGTCGGTTTTGAAAGATCATTGGCGAGATAGTTTGGATGCCTCGAGAGCCGTTTCGAGTATTTCCTCTTGAAATTATTTCCAATTTCCGATTCAACAGTCGGAGCGTTAAGGAAAAATAATAATTAAACACAAATGAATTCGGCAGAAAACAGGTTTTTACAACTTGTCAACAATCTTTTGGATTGTGGTATTTGCGAGTAAGTGCATCTTGTATAGTAAATTGGTTAGTTGAAAATAAAAATATACGTATAGATATCCTAAAAATATGTATCAGTACGGGTGTCTGAGCTATTTAAAGGTTTCGAGACTACTTCAAGTAACTAAATGATCGGTCCTAATATAGTTTCACTTTGCCGTAAATAACCTTTATCAAATAGAAGTGACAAATACTTTGATATAGGTACAGAAACGCTTTAACGAAATTTTCTCACAAAAATAAATATCTTTGGAGAACTTTTTCACGCACCAACTATGATGGACTAAATCAAATTTATTTACGAAAATAAAATGAGGGGCTATTGATGCAAATATTTGATTTATTAATGACTAATGGATATATATATTTATATAGCTTCTAGCTGTTGCCTTATGTTACAAATGTATCACACAGTTTATCTTATACTCTTATACTTTTTGTTTGTTTGTTTGAACGCGTTAATCTCCTTAACTACAAGTCTGATTTGAATAATTCTTTTTGTGTTGGATAGCGCATTTATCGAGGAAGGCTAGGCTATAAAACATCTCGCTACGACCAATAAGAGCCGAGCAGAGCGGGTGAAACCGCGCACAAGTAGTATTAGAGGTATATAAAGCGGAAGAGTTTGTTTTTTGTTTGTTTGTTTGTACGCGCTGATCTCCGTAACTACAAGTCTGATTTGAATAATTCTTTTTGAGTTAAATAGTGCATTTATCGAGGATGGCTATAGGCTCTATAACATCACGCTACGACCAATAGGAGCTGAGCAGAGTGTGTGAAACCGTGTGGAAGTAGCTAGTAATATAATATAAACAAAACTATTAAACATTTTCCATGTAATCTGTTAGGATTATACTTAACAGTTAATTAAAACTATAGTTAATTAATCCCAGTAATGTTTGTATTGTTCATTATGGTTTAAGTTATGTGTGTGACAGGCACGCCATTTTCAAACTTTCAATACGTTTTCACAAATATTAATCAAAGTTTATGACAAGTAATTAATTGGTATTTGAACTCTTTGAAAAGTCTCACAGAGGAACATACATATATATTATGCAACAAATGTATATATATAAGTAATCGTAAATGTCTTTTTTGAATATTTTGGTTATTGGTGTTAAAACGTGTCATAGTTTGTAAGGCTTTTCTAATTCTTATTATTTTTCTTATATCTTTTCAACGTTTTTATAATTATTTTAAATGTATAACGCCTTGATTTAAACTGTCAAACACCGCGCGGTCACCGGTGACCGCAACCTATTGTTCTTTGTGTCTATAATGAAGGTACTCAAAGAGTTAATCCCTGTTATGTTGTACTATTTTAATTTAAATAAATAAATAAGACTGACACTCACATTTGACTTTAGCGACTACGTTTTAAAAATAATTTGTCTAAGGGCCAAACTGGGTACTTATGTACCCAGTTTTAGTTATTAGAGTATTGTTTTAGTTATTAGTATTTAGTTATAATATTTTTTTAAATCCGATCTTCGCTTTAATAGTCAGTCGATTTAATTACCGTTTGATGTCAACATAGCATCAATTTATAGTTCAATAAACAAGTACTATACTTGAACGACCTGCAGGCTATGGAGGGCAGACGGAGGATATTTAATTTAAGGACTGACAATCACTTGAATCTCAAGATTTTTTAGAAAAATCCTAGAGATACTGATAGAACGAACACACATAAAAATTAAGTGAAATTGACAACCGTAAAATCTGGTAAGAAAGAAAGAAAGAAAGAAAAACCATTTATTACGCCACGACACACAACAAGAATACAGGTACACATAAAAAGCTCATGGTGCGTCACAGCGCAAAAGGCTGGAGCTCACCATAATAATGTTGATTGACTGCACGGTTGGCGCGCAACTGACTGCCGCGCAACGTATCGCGGGTTCGATTCCCACACGTAACAACTCTGTGTGATCCACAGGTTGTTGTTCCGTGTCTGGGTATCAAATGTATGTGAACATGTATGTATGTAAACGCACCCACGATACAGGAGAAAATTCTAGAGAGGGGCAACGTTTCTTTTTAAAATAGAAAAAGAAAAAATGTCGTAGGTCGTTTTGAGAACCTCCTCTGTCTCCTTTTTTGATTCAGGTAAAATGTATCTCTTTCTACCTACCCTGTCTGATGACCACAGACGAGTCTCGGATCAGGCTATAAACCGTTAAAGATAAACCAATAAATATCACAGGGACTACATACCGGTACCACGTTTATGTCAAAAAGAACCTTATATTCGACGCAGTAAATCCGTTTTATGTAATTTTCACTGCTTTCGGATTGAATGGGAATTTTCCTGGAGTGTTTCGATAAAATCATAAAGAGAAAAAAGTGTACTTGTAAATTGAGTTATATTTTTTGGTTCAAAGAAATGAAATTAGCTTGTCAAGCTTTCCTGATGTTGGAGTGTCCTGATTGCTTTCGTTTTTTTTTGTATTTAACATTTTGTATCCAAGTGGAAAAAGGGATGATGGAAAATTTTGGGTAGGTATATTGTTTTAAAGGGGATGTCTGTAACTGAATTAGGATAGATAGTTACTAGTTATTATAACAGACAAGCATCAATTTGTTACATATTGAACAGTTAGTTTTTAATAAGGCAAAATTAGAGAGCCTGACATACAAAGAAAGAAATAACGAAGTATAGCTGTATTTTAACCGACTTCAAAAAAAGGAGGTCCTTAGTTTCACCTGTATGTATGTATGTTTGTATGTTCATGCGCGATTTTCTCGCAATTGGCTGAACTGGTTTTAATGCGGTTTTCAGAAAAGTTTTTGATACATTTAGGAGAAGGTTTTAGTTTATGAATTAATCTGTTCTGTATCTGTTTCAGTTTTGTATTATATTTTTATTTATTTGTGTATTATTTTATATGGGCCACAGTTACCTGAAATAAAGTAGTAATAATAATTTTAAATAACAATGAGTTTATTTAAATTTTCTCCTACACAATAGTTATAAATCTTGAGGCAAAAACTGACAAGATTTATGCTCGTAATTTAGTTGGACGAGGTCACATGTGTTTTCTCATTTCCATAGTCTGATGTTAAGAATTATTCATTTTTGGTGTCTGTACAGTGTACCACAACGGGACTGTATATGTAAAAAATTTAGACATACTATTATTTAGGCTTAGTTAGCTGGTTACGCTGTAGAGAATGAATAAAAAAGGTTGTTGTTTTTATTAATATAATTATAGGTATACGCGATTTTTAAGAACCACATTCGAATAGCTAATAGTAAATGTTATGTTACACTGTGATGTTACAAGGATTCAGAACTTTATTGGTGAAAAATGGGTGTTACATTGTGTTTGTGCTCCTCCACCTAAAATTTTTTTTAAACGTTGCCCCTCACTTCTATTTTCTCCTGTGTCGTGGGTGCGTTTACAAACATACAAGTTCACATACACAATGACACCCAGACCCGAAACAACAATTTGTGGATCACACAAAGTGTTGTTCCGCGCGGGAATCGAACCCGCGATACGTTGCACTGCAGCCGGTTGCCGAGCCACCGCACCAACCGTGCAGTCAAACCATTTAGAATAGTAATTAGAACAAGTATGAAATAATTTCGTAAATTCTAATTTCGAAATAAAGGACATAGCGATGAACTTTTTATCGAAATAAAAACAACTTTCTTCGGGAAATCTGATGACACCACCTGATGACATACATATATGCAATTAGTTTAACGGGTGTCGCAATTTGTGCATCGCGTTGTGGTCGGAGACCGCGGCTTGTGATGTCATATTGTGGTTACTGGCTGGTTGCTAGCAGCACGTGTTGAGAACGAATCAGGGACATGGAACGAGGGATTATCAAAAGAAGCATTAAAACGAATAAGTTGACTGAATTTTTTTGTTTCTTTTTTTAAACGTTGCCCCACACTAGGATTTTCTCCTGTGTCGTGAATACGTTTACAAACATACAATTTTACATACACATGACAACCTAGAACTACGATCTGTGGATCACAAAAAGAGTTGCTCCGAGCGGGAATCGAACCCGCGACACGTTGCGCAGCAGAGCTTGCAGTCGTTATTTAAAATTGGTTATTTAATGAGTGAATGATTAGTTCACTATTGAACTGAATAACAAATTAACTGACTGTTATTTCAATTTTGTTTAAAAATACAGTCAAATTCATTCATCAAAAAAGTTTACATGTATGGATCAGTAAGGTGTGTAAATACGTAAACATAAAAAAACACAAAAATATTAAGCTACTAACTAAATATGAAATGAAATGTTTCAAAATGTTTTGAACTGAAAATTTTAAATGGATTAAACCCGTATGTTTTACTCGTTATGCTCAAAGTTAACGCAGTACGTTTAAAAGTTAAAAGTTTAAAATGTG